AAGTCGACATATGAATTTGGTGTTTTTCTATGCTTAAAGAAACCCATCGATAATACTTTCCATGCTTGAGGAAAGACTTGTCTGATGATGAGATTTCAAGTCTCTGTGTATCGAGAACCTTGCGCCATGAAACGATGGTGGTTCGATTGTCCCTTAACGTGGGCTGTAAATGGTTCGCATGTGCCCAAACGTGGGCTGTAGATGGTCTGCTTGTCCCTGGACGTGGGTTGTAGATGGTTCGCTTGTCCCCGAACGTGGGCTATAAATGGTTCGCTTATCCCCGAACGTGGGATGTAATTGGTTCGCTTGTCCCCGAACGTGGGCTGTAGATGGTCCGCTTGTCCCCGGATGTGGGATGTAGATGGTCCGCTTGTCCCCGGACGTGGGCTGTAGATGGTCTGTTTGTCCCCGAACGTGGGCTGTAAATGGTCCGTTTGTCCCCCGACGTGGGCTATAGATGGTCCGCTTCTCCCCGGACGTGGGCTGTAATTGAGACCTGCAAAATAAAATTTTCCAAGGGACTCGCATAAACTATGATTGACTTGACCAACTGACTTGACCAAGTTTGACTTGACACAACATGACATAACATGAGTATGACTTGTGATTGTGTGTGCATAGTTTGAGTGTGTGTGCACAAACACAAGCAATCGAAAATGCAAAAGCAAAAAAATTCCGTCATTTTTGTCACGAGATGAGTGGAGGGTATCGACTCTCTCCTGAGAAAGACGTGAAATAAAAGTTTTATTTTCGAACTTCCCTCGATGAGAAAATTTTAAAAACGTTTTTTTAATTTCCCTAAAAGAAAAGTTATGAGAAAGGGAAAAAGTTTTGAACTTCTTCGTTGAGCAAGACGAAATAAATCGCATGGATTAAATTGCTTGTCTTGAAAATAATTTATGCATGATGCATGTTCTTAGGCCAAAAGGCTAAGGACAATTACATCATGTGACACGATAGATGAATGAACTTAGGACATGTGTCTAAGCATCATATATGTGTAAAGAAGTGATCTTGAACATCACTTAGGTTTAGAAGCTAAGCACGTATATAGATGAAGTGATTATTGCATAATAAATGTTGCTTAGGTTAAGGAGCTAAGCACGATATGCTTTGTATGATAAAAAATCATTGATGTTAAATGTTGTTCAACACATTATTCGATGCGTGAAACAATGAATATTGCTTAGGTCAGGAAGCTAAGCAAGTATAATGTTTCTTTTAATGATTGTTGTCTTGAAATATGATGAAGCATGCATAGTGTTGAAACAAGATTTCATGAAAAAGGGTTCTTAAAGGGAAAGATGATATGGCTATGTATGTGTGTAAGTGATACTAAGGTGAGGCTGCAAAGGCTATGGTGAGGGAAATAGATGTGAGAAGAGTCGAGATGGTGACTCTTTAGGCTAGGTGGGATAAATGATGTGGGTTCAAGCCCCCAAGTCTATCTCTAGATGGATAGGGTCATAGGAATAAGCATTGGATATTCTTTGACTCGATCATGCATATGAATGTGGCCGCACCTCAATGTGAGGTTGCCTACGTATCCATTAGGAATCAGACCAACGTAGCTCTAGTCGAACTTTGCACAAGTGTGGGTACAGCTCAAAGAGGTCTTTCAAGGGTTGTAATGTGGTTAAGTTGAAGGTTTAAGGAAGAAATGGGTAAAAGGCTCAAGACCTGAGAGAATCCCTAAGATGTATAATTGTGAATTTGAAAATTTTGAATTTTGCAAGTTTATTTTCATTCTTTTTTTTTTTATTCTTTTGAATCAATGTAGGCAATCTCAGATCATGCAGTCCATCACTCACTTAGCATTCATGTTTCTCAGGCACGGTACCAAGCACTCGATGAAAGACGCAATTTGAGACGTGTTCATATCAAAGACATTGGAACACTTGCCTTTAGACATTGTTTTATTGTTGCTTTGCTGCCCTTTTTTTTTACTTGCTTTTTGAAAGTTATACAATTACACGTCTTCCAATCCCAGGGTTGAGTGAACGTGGGTTGAAGAAATGAAGGCCAAACGTTAGACGAGGCTCAAAGTGGTTGATGAAGAAATGGAATGTGATTGAACGGTTAACAGGGAATGACAGGGTTGCAAAGGTGCCTCAAGTAATTGGTGTACCTTGTGTTTAGTTTGGCAATTGATTTTTTTTTTCTTTTTTTTTGGCGAATGACATGATCGAATACAAAGGAAAGAAATGTTCATTGATGGAAAAGCTAAGAAATATAAGGATAAGGAGAACCTATGCTAGACTTATTAGGGAAAAAGGGTTGAAACGAAAGAAGAAAAAAGCATAAAATCTTGATGAGAAGCTTGCATCGTGCTTTGTCTTCATGGCTTTTTATGAGTTACTTCTTGCCGCTGGTGAGGAAAAAAGTTTGTTGTTGTTGATGCTTTGATTGGAAGGAAAGAAGGAAGGAGTGACGTTCCCCTTATTCTTCTAACTATTGCCTAGTGATTTTAGACACAAGTACTGTGTAATGACGAACTCATATTATTCATTAACTCAATACTCGGGTTGGAAAGGAAGAGTGTATGAAACAATTTTGAAAACTTATGGGAAATACTCCACTCATTCTTATTACGACGGAAAGCGATGCATGCATGGTCCTAGTATACAATCATAAAAAATATAGTACATTACTCGAAGACAAAGTGTGTGCAATGACTCAACATGTGTATTAGGTAAGTTTATTAAGACTCATGGTATGATCGCATGGCTAGATATGAGGACGTTGTGAAAAACAAAGGACCTAATGACCAAATAGCACGGAAGACTAAAAGACAAACTAACTTGATTAATTTTGTCCAATTTTAATGTTTATAAGACTAAAACCATTCCTAATTGCATTAGGAATGATAAACCCATATTAGGCCCTCCTCTAGATCATTAGGCCGCATATAAGGCTCAAACCGGGCCTAGTTCAGTAAATTGGCCATAACTTCCTCAATATTCATCGGAATTGGGCTTATAATAGATCGTTGAAAATCTCTTTTCAAGCCTATCCAACTACACTACTATTGGACCCATATCATGGACCAACCAAACTGAATTGGTTGTTTTCTTAAAATAGGTTTTCAAAAACAGAGAGAAGAGAAAAGAAATTAAAACTTTCCACAACACTAAACTTTCCACACTTTCACTTCATTCGATTATGATTCGACGTGAAAGGTACTCATCACTGGGTTTGGTTTTGGGGAGACACAAATGGGTGTCTACAGAAGCCCCCACTTTGACTGAGTTTGGAGAAACGCAAGTTTCAAAAACAAGAGTCAAAGTAGCGATAGGGACGGAGAATGATTCAGAGCGTTCTGCGATCCTAAATCATTCCTGTAACGCCGATACCTGCAAACTATCGTTAGTTAAACAGATAAGAGAGTTAAGAAACGCGTATCTTGCACAGTCGAGCACACGTCTCTGAAAGTAACCGATTTGTTGCTGCTTTTTCTGTTTTGATGACTTCCTGCAAGTCAGAGAATGCCATCCCGATTGAAGACTGCTACGCTTGCAACTGCCTCTAATTTCCACCTTGATAATCTTCCGCAAGCCAGGGAACACTATCGAAGATTGCTTCGCTTGAAACGATCCTCTTCCGCTTTATGACCATCCTCCACATCTTAGGGAACACGATCGAAGACAACTTCACTTGAAATTACCTTCAGTTGTTTGTGACAACTCTCCACAATCTAGGGAACGCCATCTTGTTGTTTCGATGTTCACTCGTCTCTGAACAAAGAGCTTCTTTTGGATATGTTCACGCGCCTCTGAAGAAAGAGCTTCTTTTTTTTAATATGTCCACGTGTCTATGAACAATAGAGCTTATTTTTTTAATATGAACTTCTGAATGATGTGTCCACGCGTCTATGAACAAAGAGCTTGATAATAGGATGCCCACGCGTCTCTGAGCAAAAGAGTTTGAAAGAAATGTCCTCGCGTCTCTGAACAAAAGAGCTTTGATGATATGCCCACGCGTCTCTAGAGAAAAAGAGCTTGAAAGAAATGTCCACGCGTCTCTGAACAAAAGAGCTTGAAAATAGGATGACCACGCGTCTCTGAGCAAAAGAGCTTGAAAGAAATGTCCACGCGTTTCTGAACAAAAGAGCTTCGATGATAATATTCTGAAGAAAAATTTTCGAAGACCAACGCTTGCCGATCTCTAAAGCTCGCTTGAACTTTGCTTCCGTTATGCCAGTACGTCGGCGGTTTGCTGCTTGAGAACCATTATGTCGCTGTCTCCGTGATGAGCCAACGCTTAGGCGCTTTAAGCCAAGTGAAACGATCTTTCATCAGGTCGATCACCTATTGCGATTGTAATAAAACTGACTACTTGATCATGTCAAATTGCTTATAGGGGCTAACTGGCGTACCAAGGAACCCGAAATTGTTGTATGAGCTTTGAGCTCTGTCGCCGCTGAAATATCTTTGGCGCCAAGAATTGACTCTGTCACCAGACGCTGGGATCTAGCGCCAGGCGCTAAAAACTATTGCTAGACGCTAGATGTTTTCGTCTGGCGCTGGAGTAGGGTCTTCACTATTCTGCTGCACCTGTATTTATTTTTTACTATAGGACTTTGCTTATCTCTTTAATTATTTTAGGGTTGACCTACACTAGTGGAAAAAATCTTATTTGTAACAAGCTATTCGTAACGGACATATGATTTTCCGTTACAATTAAGTCATTCGTAACGGGCAAATTCAATGTCCGTTACAAAAAAGTTGTGAAATGGGCAGGAAAAGGGTTATTCGTAACGGACAAATTGGTGCCCGTTACGAAAAAGTTATTATTCGTAACGGACATATTGGTACCCGTTACGAATAAGTTGTTATTTGTAACATGCATTATTCTGCCCGTTACGATTAAGTAACTAATCGTAACCAACAAATATTGCCCGTTACAAATAGAAAAGTCAACAGAATTTTGACCTTGTTATTTGTAACTAACATAGGGTGTCCATTATGAATAAAGTTTTAAAGTAAGCCCTAAATTTTTACTTTCCCCTTTCTCACTCCCTCTTGTCAAAAAAATTCTTCTCTCTCCAATATTGAAGCAGCTCCCGCGCGTTTTGCTCCTCTCATTCTCACTCTTCTCCTCCATTGAAGCGCACTTTGAGTTCTCCATTATTGAAGCGCACTCCGAGTTCTCCATTGAAGCGCACTCCGAGTTCTCCATTGAAGCGCACTCCGAGTTCTCCATTAGTGAAGCGCACTCTGAGTTCTCCATAGAAGCGCTGTATGAGTTCTCCATTGAAGCGCTGTCTGAGTTCTCCATTGAAGCGCTCATAGCTCTCCATTAAAGCGTACTCTTTCTCTATCCTCCCCCAATTTCGTAACCCTTGTTTCAGTTTGCTTAATTGCAATTACTTAATTATAGGTTTTATTTTTTTTTCCCCAAATTAATTGATTGATTTTATTATTTTCCATTTGTTTTAGGTTTTATTATGTTTTAGTTTAAAAGCCTTTGAATTTTGAGCTAAGTATGAATTAATTGATTGATTTTTTTCCCCAAATTATTACTATCTTTCTGGATCCCCCCTTACATCGTGAATCCGTTTATTTGCAGTTGCCCTGCGCATGATAAGCTTTGGATGTGATTACCACTGGGCCCAAAAAGATTCTCGCTTTGATCAAGAGGTAGTTGTATATTTTGTGGTCTAATTAAATTGCGGCCTTGGTCTCTCTCTGCAATTGTATAGCGTGATTGCTTGCTGTTCCTATTTCTCATTGTTAGTTCATTACATTTTCCTCACTGTTATCCCTTGCTTGTAATGGCTGCAAGAATTTGTGAGCAGATGAGCACAACTTGTGGATTCACTTTAGTGTGGATACGCTATGATTGCCTTTCACAGATTAGTGATCTTATTTTCTTTCTCAGATTTTATTTTCCGCTTCAACTTTAAGTGATACTTGCATGTAGTATATTGGATACTACGTATGTTTTTGTGCATTCGGCATGTCGGCCTTTTATAAGCTGTGTGCTGAAAACTATTGTATATTTAGCTTGTTTTCTAGGTTAAGTGTTCAGTTGTTTTATTTAGCTCTAAATTATAGTTTTCTGAACCTAATGTTTATTGTACATTCTAACAAAGTCCTCATAGAAGCTGCTCCAAGTTTATTGCTGACTAAGTCATTTTTAATACCACTTATCAGTTGAATGGAATACCATTAGTTAAAATAATGCAATACTTCTCCCTGCACTAGGAACTTCTACGTGCATTATTTTTGACTGTTTGGTGGATTGTCTAAAGTGAGGTTGAAATGTACTGGTATTTTTTTGAATATGTCTTGCAAAAGATTTGGCATCTAAGGAGGGATTTTCTTTATAAAATTGCTAATTATTTTGTTTATTCAACTGATTTTAGATTAGGAATGTAATGTAGATTCACTAGATTTCATGTTTATTGTTTTATATGGAAGGTTGGCTTATTTGACTAGTACAATACAACTGGCAAAATTAGTATAGATTTAAGTTTGCTTGTAGCTCAAGTAGTCAACCTATGGTTATCCATGTTTTCAGTCTTTTCACTTCCACATTGAAATGAACAAATAGAGGACATAAGAGATTGAGGGATGCCCTCAAGTGCTTTTGTTTAAAAAACATGAAATTCCCTATAAATTCCAACAATAATTATTATTATTATTTTTTAATATTTTGGTTGGTTGAACCTTTTGTGCCCTGCTGTCATTAGCTTATGTCTTGCTTAGTGTCACATTCCGAATCTATTTTCTGATTTGTACTGCTATGAATTAGCATTTTTGGAAAAGCGTATTAGATAATGCAATATATATATATATATGTTAGTGAGTGAATTAGAGGATTAATGCTATGAATAAGAGAATAATAGGGAGAGATTGTTATAAAGAATACTATTTAAAGTTTTTTTTTGTTCTTTTTATACAGTTTGGGAGAGAAGAAGCATCTCGAAAGCTTGTATTACTCTTTATTTTTAGCTTTTAATGCAAATTTCTATCAAAATTCTTCAGAATTTCTGCAGAAATTTCCAGTTCATAACATGTACTCATTTGGCTCTTAGATTTTTGTTTTCTGAATTTGTCTCATTTAAGTGAATTCATGGACTTGACTAACTTGGGCTAAATGCTTCCATGAATTTTTTAGTTGGTTGTGTATGTTTAAATTCATTGTCCATTTTAAATGATTAAATAATGTTGGTGTTTCATTATTGAGTTTTGCACTATGATAGTGGACACTAACTATTTTCTTTTGGAAGGATTAAAGAGGATGATAAGATGATACAAGCCGAGGGTGTTGAGTCACTTTCAGAGGCAGAGCTTCGTCAAGCATGTAGAGATAGAGGTTTACTTGGTTTGCTTTCTGTTGAAGAGATGCGTCAACAGGTTTGCTCACAGTGCTCTACCAAATTTATTTTTGATTTTAAGTGGATGATGCACTACTTGTGTTGATCTTTGTTTTAATCTAACCATTATTTATGGTTGCAGTAGATTTGTGCCTTCCTGAGTGAAATGATGTAATTTTGAACCCTTACAAAATGCTAATCTTATGATTTAGAATAATTTGTGCTTGTCAACTAATATTACCATGGTGGTTCTCGGCTATCTATAGTACCTGATTCTGGTCAATGTTCATTCATTCAAGTTTTCATGTATGTGCAGCTGCGTGATTGGTTGGACTTATCTCTCAATCACTCTGTTCCGTCATCTCTTCTTATTCTTTCCAGGTAGGCAGTGTTTTTCTTGGAAATTCTTCTGGTTTATAAGGAATTTCATCACTTGATGTTTGTTTATTATATATTAAAATAAAGCTTATTAGCGCTAGTTCCCAACTTTGTGCGCTGATCTACACTTCTTTTGGCAGAGCCTTCAATGTGTCTGGAACAATCAAGCCTGAGGAAGCCGTGGAGTTTGCTATTTCCTCTTTGCCAGATGAGGTTGTTGATACCATTGGAGCAACATCTTTGCCTTCTGAGGATGCAGTTTCAGAAAGGAGGAGAAAGTTAGAGTTCCTTGAAATGCAGGAAGAAATGATCAAGGTTTTAGTCCCTTTTACTCCGAACGTATTAGGTTTTAAAACTACATATCTGTTTCAAACTATCTGAATAGTACGTAGTATATCACTTTCTAAAATGAGAGTGTAATTTTTAAACCTACCTAAATTATCCTATACCGTTCTTCTATATTATTATGTTGTATATTTTGAAATTTTTTATAATGAAGGCTAGCTGTAGTATATTTACTTCTAAGTTTTTAAATAGCCTAAAATCAATTGCAGCCCCTATTATTTAGAATGAAGTGTGATATTTTTAACATATACTTCGTATAAGCTAGGAGTAGGGATCGATTTTCTTTCCTAGCATGAAAGTGTTATTAGTTGTCATGTATGAGTGCTCTTAGATCTCTATTAATTTGGCACTAACATTTATTGTACTAGAAGACATCTTTAAGTTGGTCTGACCCAGTTCTTTTGCATTACTGATTTTGTGTGATTGTTTTTATCAGAGGGGAAGATACTTGTTGAAGACATTGTTAGGCTAGGCAGTCAGAAGCATGGTGAGGAAGCTGAATCTGAAAGATGAATAGATTCAAGATTTATCCACTTTAGAAGTAAATATTTATTGAATGCTTAACTATTAGCTTAGGTAGAACAACATAATATTTTTAGTGTTGTTGTATATGTTACTACTTCAGTTTTTATATTACGTCGTATTAATTTTTACGAAAGATTGTTCGGTATAATTGCTTTTTACAGGAACAGGTATATTATTACAGGTTTTAATTAATATATATTAATTATATATAAATACATGCTGTCGAAATTAAATAAAATGAAAATTTAATTTAATAATTATTTCTAACGGGCAGCAAAATTGTCAGTTACAAATAACCAGTTATTCGTAACGGGCACTTTTGTTGCCCGTTACAAATAAGTGTTAAATTATATACCATAAAACTCTATTCGTAACGGACATTTAAGATGTCAGTTACGAATAATCACTTATTCGTAACGGGCGTTTTATGTGCCCGTTACGAATAAGGACTTATTTTAATACAAAAAAAATTTATTCGTAACTGACATTTCAGATGTCCGTTACGAATAACCCCTTATTCGTAACCAACATTTAAAATGTCCGTTACGAATAATGGGTTATTCGTAACGGACATCTAAAATGCCAGTTACGAATAATGGGTTATTCGTAACGGACATCTTAAATGTCAGTTACGAATAATGAGTTATTCGTAACGGACATTTCAAATGTCCGTTACGAATAACTCATTATTCGTAACGGACAGTGCCCGTTACGAATAACAATGGCCATCCGTAACGGCCGCATACGTAACAGACGCTGCCCGTTACGAATGGCCTCTTTTTGCCCGTTACGGATGAGGATTTTTCCACTAGTGCTAAGATTTAATGTCGCTTGACTCATTTACATTGACACGACTCAAGGTATAAACTTGACTCGCTGTGATTGACTCAAGGTTGACTCGACTCGAAGTGAAATGACACGTGTGTTAGACTCAAATCAAGGTGATATGACAATTTTTTGTGGAGGGTACCGACTTTCTCATATATAAAAATTTTCCGTCATTTTGTGGAGGGTACCGACTTTCTCCCGAAAAAGAAAGACGCAAAAAAAGAATCGAAGTTTTCGAATGCATGTTGAATGAGCTTAGTCAAATGTTGTTTTATACTATCTCTCAAGGTGCAAGGATAAATCCATCCTAGGCTATCTCAATGGTTGACTCAATGATGAAAGTATTTGGGTAACTTAGGCACGGAGGCTAAGCATTTCATACTTCGTGATGCAATGACAATTATGATTGATGACTGATGTTGATATGACAAGGCATGCTTCAACGTTGTGTTAAGATTCCATGACAAAGGGTTCCTAAGGGAAGTATTGGTCATGTATCTATGATGTGTGTGATAGTGACACTAAAGTTAGGCTGCAAGGGCAAAGTGTGTGGGAAAATATTATTTTAAGAGGAGTTAAATGATGGTGACTCTTAGGCTAGGTAAGCTAGTGATATAGGGATCAAGCCCCCAAGTCTAGATCTAAGTAGATAGGGATGAGCATAGTAGATCCCTATATATGATCAATTATGAGTGTAAATATGAATGCATTTATATTACGGACGCCCTCCGATCTGAGGTTGCCTACGTATCCGTTAGGAATCAGGCCGAACGTAGTAGCTCTAGCCGAACCTCGCACAAGTTTGTGTATACCTCAAAAAGGTCTTTTTAAGGGTTGTAACGTTGTTAGGCTAAAGGTTGAAGAAGATGGGGATAAAAGGCTCAAGACCCTAGATAAGCCCCCAAGGTGTGAAACCTTGCTTTTGAATCTTTGTATTTTTATGCTTGAGGCTTTCTACTCTTTTTTTTTTAGCTCTCTTTTCTCTTTTTTTTTTTTTTTCTTTAGCATTTATTATAAGTGTGGGCAATCCCGATCATACGGTCTATCACTCACTTGGCATTCATGTTTCTCAGGCACGGTACCGAGCACTCGATAAGAGACGCAATCTGAGACGTATTTATATCAAAGACACGTTCATGTCAAAGACATTGGAACACTTGCCCTTTTGTACACTTTTATTATTTTATTTTTTTTGCTTATTTTTTTTTGCTATTTTATCTTTTGAAGTCACTCAAACTTTTTATGAAATCGAAAATTGCATAAGTTGCACACCATCCCATCCCAAGGTTAGGTAGATGTAGGTTGAAGAAAGAAAGGTCTATCGTTAGACGAGGCTCAAAGTGGTTTATGAAGAAAGGATTGTAAATTAGAAAGGTAAAAGGCAATATGATGTGGCTACAAGGGGTGCCTTGAATCATTGGTATACCTTGTGTTTAGTTTGACATGGATTTTTTTTTTTTTTTTTTTTTTTTTTTTTTTTTTTTTGTGTGATGAAATGATCATATGCAAGAAAATAAGTGCTCATTTTATTAAAAAGGGGAAAAGAAAGAATCTACAAAATTAATCTAAGGGAAAAGAAAGGTGCCTATGCTAGACTTATTGGGGAAAGGGTAAATAAAGAAAAAGAAAAAAAAGATGTTATGAAATCTCATCGTTGAAGCTCGCCTCTTGTCCTGTGTTGTTTGCTTTATCATCACTCGCTCTTCTTGTTAGCTGGAGGTATGGGAAGCTTGTTATTATCAATCAAATGTTGGATAGCCTCCTTTAGCTTCCAACAACTCTCAGTAGCGTGACCCCTACCTTGATGATACTTGCAGCGCACGTTTGGATTCCAACTAGGCAATCTCTTCTCAAGCGGGGGATCTTGAAGAGGTTCAATAGGAGTAATGAGTCCCTTGGCATGGAGTCGATCGAAAGCATCATCGTAGCTAATTTCAATAGGGGTAAAATCCTTTTTTTGTTGCTTTCTAAATCCTCGATTATCCATGGCTAAGATCTCATTAAGGTAGAAAGTACCAACACTGTTACTAGAGTAGGTGTTTTCGGAAAAAGAAGGATAGTCGTTCTTCTTCCCTTTCCAGCCACTGTTACTATCGTTACTAATCTTGGCCTTCTTGTCGCGCGGAGGAACATGAAGGATATTTGAATCAATGAAGTCTTGAACACGATCCTTGAGGGCGAGACATTTTTCGGTAGTGTGACCGCGACCTCTATGGTATCGACAATAGGAATTTGGATCCCAATTGGGAAAACGTTTTTCAGGTGGAGAGTCTTGACTGGGACCAATGGAGTGAATAAGACCTTGATCGTGAACAGAGTCAAAAGCTTCATTGTAAGTCATTCCTATTGGTGTGTATTCTTCAATGGACCGTTTTGCCCGTGGCTTAGGAGCATTGAGTTCTTCATTAAATTCTTGGCGAGAATTTTGTTCGATGACCATCACCCGATTTGCTAGTCCTTCTACCACGTTCAAGAGCATGGCAACGAAATCTTGCAGTTTTCGAACGTCTTCTTTTAGACTTGACGAGTATTCCCTGGTATTATCTAAGAAAAGACTTTCATCCTCCCCAATCATGGCCACTTCATCGAGAGAGGTTATATAAGCTGTCTCGATCATGGGCTCTCCTATAGGTGTGATAAGAAGTGATGGATCGAAGGATGCTTGATCTTCTTCGATGGCTAGAATTTCGGAAGTTTCATTGTTATCGATCAGATCTTGAATAGCTTCTTTGAGTTTCCAACACTCCTCAGTGTCGTGACCCTTTCCTTGGTAATATTTGCACTGCTTATTAGGGTCCCACTTGGGTGGCCTGGCTTCTGGAACTGGATCTTTGATAGGCCCTATGGGCATGACTAGTCCTTTGTGATGTAGCTTCTCGAAAGCTGTTTCATAACTCATACCAAGTGGAGTGAACACTCTTTTTGACCTTTGGATTCGTGATTTAGAGGCGTACATGGCATGTACCTCATTAATGGGAAAGGAAGAAGAAGGATAGTCGTTCTTCTTTCCTCTCGCACTATTGTCTTTCAGAAGGTCATCTTCAATGTCAATGCCTATGTTATACACAGCCTTGAAAGTATTCAAGTTGTGTTGGTACTTTAAGTGCCTTGAATACTTCCCTTGGAGATTCTTGATAAACATCCTCACAGATTCTTTTTCGATATGAGCCTTGACCATATTAGCGGAAGTTTCCCTCCATTTGTTGAAGAAAGAAGTGAATCCTTTGTTTTCCTTTTGTTTTAACATCTCAAGTTGTCTGTGGTCTGTTTCGTCTTGGATGTTGCACTTATATCTATCAATGAAAGCGTTTGTTATCGACTCCCAAGAAGAGGTTTTCTCTTTGTCAAGGGAAAAGCCATTGTTGACAAACAGTCTCAAGAGATAGAGAAAATATAGAGGGGAACACTTTCTTATCAATACCCTTAATACTTATTATGGTTTCAAAAGCTCTTAGATGAAAGTAAGGATTATCTGTTGCCTTGAATTTTGGGATGTCAGTGGCATTGAACTTATGCGGAAGAAGTTTCTTGTCCAGCGAGATCCCTTGTGAACTAATGCCCTGAAATTTATAGTCACTAGATAATTTGCTCAAGCTTTCTTGCATGAGGTTAATTTGTTGTTGCTTCAGGGTCATCAATTTTGAGGGTTAAAGCCTTTAACACCTCAGTCACATCATTCAATTGATTCCTAAGTTCATTGACCTCTTCTTGACTTGCCATTATCTTCTTAGACTTCCTTTTTTGACGAATTGGTTTATCAAAAAGTGAGACTTGAATAAAGAGGTTGTCCTTGATTAATCGCCCTTCTCTCCTCGAACAAGTACTGTGGAAAAGGAATTTGGGGATATTTATTGTTAATTATTTGACTCAAACTTTATTCAACATGCAATGGATGGAGGAAGTGAAGAAAGATTGGAATAGAATGTGAAGAAAAATGATGTAGATGGAGGGATATGGAAAATTAGGAATAGAATGTACCCCCAACTCAAATGACGGAAAAAACCGACTCATGCATGAACCTAAGACATGGTCATGGTGATATGTACTCAAAGTGTGTGCTAAGACTAGTGAGTGTAAGTGACATACTTGGACTCGTGTCAAGACCATGTGCCTAGACTATGTGACTAGATTCAATTAATGTCTTAACAAGGCATTATTGACAGTAAAATTTAACCGGACTAATTAGTAAACTGGTTAATTAGACACACAGTGATGATTCGATCAATAATCCGAACTGTCGTCAAAACGACAGGACTGGTGCCTCTCTTTGCAGTGTAGCGCCAGAAGACAGAGCTGTCGCCAGGC